TCGTCCTTATAAAATGCAGAGTTAGTAATAATCGTATTTAAGGTGGCTGTATTTCTTAGATGAAACATTTTCGTTGTTTTTGTTTAGGGACATATCAACACCCCTATGGGTTACTTCATGCTTAAATCTAAATATGAAAATTCAAACTTTATAATAAATGACATTATTTGATTATTAAATTACAATTACTCAGCTGCATTTTGTTTTTAAATGATCTTACGCAATCAAACGATGAGTGAAAAAAAAAAAACAAAACAAAAAAAAAATTCGAAATTGGCATTCCCATCATACCTTGCAACCAGTACGGCCCGAGTTAAATATTCCATTTACTATCTGGAATGTTAGCGTCATGAAATCTTTCTTGCACTGATATTCATCCAAAAGCCAACCGCTTTCGGGGGGACAATGTCATCCTTAACTATATTTTGGGATCGATTATTATTTATTTTAATTTTCTTGTATTCATCTTGATTTCTATTGTTTCTAAATATGCCATTGTATTTCAGAAACTTACTCTGTAGTTTTTGTTATTCCTTCATTGTTTTAATTTTCTCTTAATACTTGCTTCAGCATATATATATATATATATATATATATATATATATATATATATGGTGGACTCTCCCGTCATATTCGATGTATGTGGGTCAAGCAGATCAGATCCTAGGAAAGAGGCAGCCCGACACCAGCACATAAGATTTGATTATAGTGGTGAAGGTTTTGTGCAGAATTATCCAAACTTTTTGAAGGGCCGAATACAGAGACCTGGTGCACTACGTGCCACAAGGTCTCCAAACGAATTTTGAATTTGGAGTTGTCTTTCTCCTAGAGCAGTTGTCATCCAAGGCTATAGAACCCAGTCTTTCCTGCTATTTACCTATAGCTGGAGGGAGAAGAAGAGGATTCATACCTTTCCCAAGGGTATTAGCACGTAAGTGAATGTAATGGATTCGACTGGAATTCGAACTTGGCTCTCTGATTACTCAATCTGAGCCGCTATATATATATATATATATATATATATATATATATATATATATATATATATATATCAGGTCGCTCGGCGTATTTCGTATGGAAAAAAATGTTAAAATCTCCCTTCTTCATTGTTGTGCGACTGAGGTTTCTTCTTGGGTCTAAAACCGGCGTGGACGCCTTCATCTCTTCTCGGAAATACAAGGTGAAACCGCAATCCTCTCCATGGTTCACGCCAGCATGCTCAGCACCATAGCACACAGGAACCACTATTTCCGCCTATACCAGCAAGACAGCTCTCATCATAACAAATTCCTATTTGCTACTGCTTGTAATAAATGTAAGCGTGTCCTCATAGAAGCTGTCCCTGTTTGCTGAGAGAAGGAGGTAGCATATAGCCTCTAAAATACATTGGCTCTCGTGATTACTGGCGTCTCTGTAATAGGGTACTAAATAAGTGCAAGGTGTCTATCCCCCACCTCTTCAATCGATTTGAGGTGTTATCATCCCCTGCTGATAAAGCTGAATGCTTTGCTAGTAAATTCTCCTCAAACTTTACACTTGACTAATCTGAGTATCCTTGCATGACTTCTCACTTAGAATTGATTCTATGTTGAGTGATATAACACCTTCTGCTATCATCTCTAACCTTGATCCCCACAAAGAATGTGAACCCAATGGCATCCCTGTAATAGTCCTTAAGAAGTGTGCTCCTGAACTGGCTCCTGTTCTCTCTGAACTGTATAATAAATGCCTCGCTGTCTTCTGCTTTCCTGCCTGCTGGAAGTCATAATCTGTTGTTCCAGTTTTTAAGAACTCTGGTGAACAGTCCGACCCATTCATCTATCGGCTTATTAATCTTCTGCCGATTTATGGGAAACTCCTTTTAGGCGCGAATAAATACTGAACTGGTTCATCATCTCTCGTGACAGGGCCTTTTCTCGGACAAGCAATACGGTTTTTGTTTCTCCAGGTCAACAGCTGATAATTGCGGAGCGAGTCTATCGAGCTTTATATAAAATGGCGAAGACTTTGACAGGGTCTGGCATTCAGGTCTTCTCCACAAACTGAAAAGTTATGGTACCTGCGGGCACGTTTTTGAGCTGATTCAGTCGTTCTTATCAAATCGTGAAATGAAAGTTGTCCTGAACTGCCACTCGTCTAAATCCTTTCGTAATAACGCGGATGTCCTCCCAGGGCGCCAGCCTTGGACCTACATTGTTTTTAATCTTTATTAACGACCTTTCCAATGACATAAGCTATCAACTTGGTATCTATGCTGATGACGCTACCTTTTACCCCTGCCTCGATAGTAAGGCTGATTAGTCAGATAAGGTCAAATTGGCAGCCGATGTACAAAACGACCTTAAGACCGTCGTCAACTGGAGGAAAAGACGGCTTTTCAATTTTAACGCCACCAAAACTAAACTGCTCTCCATTAATCATCTGAGAGACCCCTCTTTGCCTTCCATCAGCATGGCTGATGCTAAGCTCCAGAAAAATGACTCATTGCACCTTCTCCGGCTAACGTTCTCAGCTGACATGAGGTGGAAAAACTACATTGAATCCATCGCTAGATGAACTGTCAAGAAAGTCGGTTTACTACTGTGTCGAGCAATACAATTTTTCTCTCTGTAATTTATCTTGTATATCTATAAGTCTACCATTCGTCCATGCTTAGAATATTGCTGTCATATCTGGTCTAGTGCCCCTGCTATTTACTTGGAGCTCCTTGATATAATCCAAAGAAGAATGAGCAATATTATCTGGCAGTTCGGCTTTAGTCACTTGCCCACCGCCGTAAGGTTGCTTCTCTGTGTCTCTTTTATAAATATTTTCATTGTAATTGTTTAGATGAGCTTCTCGCTATGGTACCTAGACTGTATGAATTTAAACAAATGATAAGACTGGTGAGATCTCATCAATTTATAGTTGAGCTAGCTAGATGTAGCCGTATCTTTTATACTAACAGTTTCTTTTCTCGCACTTCTTGCTTGTGGAACTCTCTCCTGGCTCCATGCTTTCCAGTCAATTTTAATCAGCAAAAATTTAAATGCAATATCAATCGCTGTCTACTGTCCTCCTGACTGTTATTTTCTTTCTCTTCAATACTAATGTTTTGTTCCTAATTTCTACAAACATTGTAACCTCTTGCGTGCTAATGGTTATACTGCCTTGTATGGAGTGATATCAATTAAAAAAAAAGTAATGAGCTTAATCATAGCAAACTGTTATTTTTTGACGATATATGGCATGTTTTTAATTTTAATATAAAAATTTATTGCTGCTATTTTTACTATACGAGTATATCCATGCTATTTCCTTTCTCGTTATAAGTTTTGGCTCTTGCTATAATATCCCAGATAATAAAAGGTTTATTATAACCATAATTCCTTAATTGCCAGAAATATTCAGAGAGAGCAATGCCGTGTTTCTCTTTTATTTGTCAGTCGATGACGGTAGAAACGAAATTTCCAAAGATTTTCAGTGAAACTAAAATAAAATTTAACATCCTTAGTGGAATGTGTGCTAGCTCGGCATACAATATTCTCAGCCATAGATTGCCCGTTTAAGGGACACATATTTTTTCGGTAGTTGCATTTATTTAAAAGAAATGTCTTAATTGGAAATATATTTGTTTAATATAATGTTATATTGAGATATAGATTTATCTATGTTATTAACGCAGATATCGCTGATCTTAACATTGTTTTTGTTAAAAATAATTTTTAGTTAATGGTTAAATTTTTAGTAAATGATTAAAGTGCTGATGAATAAAATTTAGGAAAATTCTTTCTATATTAGTTTGAACATTACGATTCAAAGATTGCGGTTACGGTATTTTTGTATATTTTCACCTTTGTGTTTTACTAAATACTCTAAATTTACTTTATGGTTTCTTAGTTCTAAAGCCATTACATATTTAATGTTATTATTATCAAAGAAACTAAAAAAAATCATATAATTTTTAAAATTAAAAAAATAACTGTAATCCCAGTATAATATATCAGGGCATCCCATAAGTTCTGTCGGAATTTTAACTTTTTGTTAAAATGAACGAAATTTAAAGAGTATTTTATAATGTCTAATGGAGCTGAACATTATTTTTATGTTTGATTAAAACCCTGCTAACATGGAATAACCCAAGAATCATTTGAGGCACATAATGCTTTATGAGTTCAAGAAAGGAAACTCAGCAGCCGAATCGGCTAGAAAACATTCAAGAGGAATGTGTGAATGAAAGAACTTGCAGAAGATGGTTTGTAAAATTCAGAGGTGGAGATTTCACCATTGAAGATGAATATCGAACCGGACGTCCAGTTGAGTTTGATGAAAAGCTTCTTGAAGCAGCCCTTGAAGAAAATCCTGCTTTATCAGTTGAGGAATTGGCAGTAGTTCTCAGTTCAAACCATACAACTGTTCATCGTCATCTTCAACAACATAGAAAAGTTCCTAAACTTGGAAAATGGGTGCCTCGTGAATTGTCTGAAAACAACCTCAAATCCCGAGTTGATATCTGCTCTTCTCTCCATTCTCGCCAACTTGTTTCACCTTTTTTGTATAGACTTGTGACTAGTGACAAAAAATGGATCTTTTATCGAAATGTTAAGACAGTCGCTTGGTAAAGGGGAAGGACCCCAGCCACAGCCGAGAAGGGAACTTCATGGGCAAAAGGTTCTTCTTTCAATCTGGTGGGATCGCCAAGGAATAATCCACTTTGAATTCTTACCACCTAATGCAACAATTAATGCTCAAATATACTGTCTGCAATTAGAGCATTTGAACCAAGCTTTTAGGAAAAAAAGACCTGCTCTAGTGAATCGGAAAGGGGTGATGTTTCATCAGGACAATGCACGACCCCACACAGCAACAATCACGTCACAAAAGATCGAAGAACTTGGTTGGGAGAAAATTTCTCATCCACCTTATTCTCCCGATCTTGCTCCTTCAGACTATCATTTGTTTCGTAGCTTATAGAATCATTTAGAAGAAACAGCTTTTGTAACACAGGAAGAGGTTAAAAC